ATGTTGGAGGTGCAAGACACTTGAGCGTGTAATGTTAATTTTACCTGTGATCCTTTGAATAAATGAGCACTGTTTTGAAGTTACTTGGACTGCCTAATCTCTCAGAGTTAGCATGGTAAGACGGACCCTACCCTACACTACTCTACGCTGCCATTGGGTGCATTAGCACAAACTGTCATGATTCTGTCACGCCTGTGTCCGTTCTCATGCTTTTATTTTGACATTACTTCCTGCTTTTGTTTCACCTCAGTTTCAGACTTTTTACTTTAATCGGCATTCATTGTTTTCACCTGCTTCTGATTGTTTGCACCTGTTTTCACCCCATTATAAGCAGCCTTCCCCCACCAGTAACCTGCCAGATTGTTCTCTCACTCCTGTGCAGACTTTACAGCATTCTTGTATTTCCTGTTCTTACCCCGAATCTTGTATTTTGACCATTGTGTTTTGCCTTGCCCTCTTGCTTAGGGCTGCCTTCTGTGAATGAATTATAGGACTTCCCTCTCTGACCTCTTGTTTTGTGAATTCCTCGACTGTGTAAGTTTGCTGGCTCTGACCCTGGACCGTGTTTTCGACCTGAGCGTGTGCATCATGTTTTACGTAGTTTTCTGTATCGTTTTGTTGTTCCGTGCTCTTATTAAAGAGACAGTTATTCACTTAAACTCATCTGGCAATAAAATTGAGTTCACCCTTGATATTATCGGCAGCTTCACGCGCCAATCCTGACACAAACGACAGTGAGAGACCATTCCCCGACCCGAAGGTGCATAAAAGCGACCCTCTCATTCACCGGGGTAGACTCTAAAACCTGTCGACTGAGCTGGGGAGCTATTAACAAGCCCACACCAGCCCGTCGCCTCTCACCCTGAGCAATGCCAGAATAGTGGAGAGTCCACCCTTTGTCAAGAACAATGGTGGACTAAAACACAACTTGTCATCCATATACAACTCTGTTTTGAAATCTCTACCCAAACATTTCCACCCTAATTCACACCAGGACAATTGGCGTTGGTCCACATGTAAGGGTCACAAAGACAGGTAATGACTCTCACTGATACCTGACCCTAATGACTCAGTCATTAGAGGACATTGTTGGCCATCAATGGACTGAAACACCACCCAGTGGGATAAATACCTCCTGCTCACCACCAGTCAGACAGAACTGATGAAGCTTCTTGGATAAGAGGTGAAACATCTTCTACCTAAAACTACATCCAGATGATTTCACCCACGTTTTTTCAGCATACTACGACCTGGATGACTGAGAATTTGAACGGATATATTTAATCCAACAGTATTGCAATAAATCTTCCATGAAAGTGATGATAATCAGTTTGTGTTCAAAACATTTTGCAGCTGTTCTATCATTTTGGGGTTTGTGCTGCTGTTAAACTGAGCTGCAACATACAGATGGGGTGTTTCTGGTATTTTGTCCACCCAATTTATATCAGTGAGGTTGGGCTAAACATAGAAACACTTATGTGGATAACACAAAATGATGATTCAAACTCCCATGGCTAGCAAACAAAGTCTTCCTTACTCTTAACATAGTACCGCACATGCACATCAACGGGCTGCACTGCTGGCAGTCAGACTTTTACCACAATGATTCAGTATCAGCTGGCAGCTGAAAATAAAAAGGCATTTGCTTGTCTAAAAAACAACACAGTGGTCCTTAACAGGCAGGCAATAAACAGAAGTAAACAGTACCACCCAGGACCCAGGCAAGTAACAACCGAGAAATATTTAGGTGCCATGACCAGAAAACTAGTTGACATGAACAACAGATGGAATGCTCTGGGGATGGTAGAAGGTTTCACAAATTAGTGGGGAAAGGGGACAGCATGTTAAGCCCAGTTGGTCAATGCACTTGGTTTCATGATTGCCTTTGGTTATTGGAGTGCTGGGTCATGACTTGTGCCAAGGTGCTTGGAACCTGTATATTTGCGTGCAAATCTAGTTACATTTTGTATTTATCTTTCTAAATAATTCTTTGCATTGTGAGTAAACTGTCATTCCCACCCTGGACTCCAATTGTACCTCCCTATTCATACTTATAACATCAGAGTTGTCTGTGTGTAACTGATACATTAGTTACTCTTCTGTTATATTTCTGACATACAGTAACAAAGTATTGGCTGCAGTATTAAAGTGCACTTGCTGTTACTATGGTAACAATGAGTGTTGCCAAACCAACTAGAAGTGAAATATTTAGGAAAGCCACTGCTGTATATGTTCTGTACTTTGTGTATGCTTGCTGTGAGATGATAGACTGCTTTGCGAGTAAATAACAGTGTGGGTGTTGCTATTTTATCATTAATACAATGTTTATTTTGTAAATCTGGCTTCGCTATGAACAACTGCTGTTTTTGATTTATTTATTTATTCTTTCAAGCATGTAAAGACAGTTGATATATCAACACACATAATTTTACACATATCCAACAAATGCTAATCCAATATCAATTTGCTTATACCTAGTACATGCTTGAATGGAGTAGGAAGAAGTCAGACTTATCCAGTCCTACCCCCTGACATCATCTTACCATCATTGGTTTGCAAGCAGTAAATGATTCACTTCTACACCACACAAGTATTATACTAAAAACAGAATATAACAGTGTTAAAGAATTATTACAAAATGTACACCACACCCACAATGTTCCATCTAATTAATCATTGAGCCTGTTCTTGCATATATCTTGATTGACACATACCTTTATATTTATGTTTAAACTCATCAATTCTATTACTATTTTTTATGTCTACACTTAAATTATTCCATAGTTTTACCCCACTTATGGAAATACAAAATCTTTTTTTGGTTGTACGTATAGCATGAATTTTTAAATTTAACTGACCCCTTAAATTGTATCCCCCTTCCCTTTCATTAAATAGTTTTTGAATTCCACCAGGTAATAAATTGCTCCTGGCTTTATACATAAACACTGCAGTCTTATATCCCACTAAATCAAAAAATTGTAACAATTTAGACTGTATGAAAGCTACATTGGTGTGATCCCTATACCCCATCTTATGCACAATTCTTATCGCTCTTTTTTGTAATATATACAATGGTTGAAGTGAGCTTTTGTATGTATTTCTTTTGTATGTATTTTGTAGTTGCAGTCTTATGTGAACTATTCGTGTGCTCTGTTCAGGTTTAGAAAAAGGAAATGTGCGCTAGGTCAATGTAACCTAGAAGGTCATGTACTGGACAGTTTAAACAATGCTCGGAAGAAGGTGTGTGTGAATAGCTGGCATGGGGCCACGACTTCATGCCTCCGGCCATGGAGGGTTGTGTGAGTACAAGCAGATAAAAAGATGGGTTAGAGCAGAAGAAGGGAAGAGAGGATGACAATGCTATTGGGACAGTAAACCGTGTACTTTGTGGGGATGCTGACCCAGTCGGCTGGGGGGACGATGAATTAAGACTGACAATTGACTGTGGGCTGACGAAGACTGACTGACTCTGTGACATGTAATACTGTATCTATTCCATTGCAGGAGGAGTGAATCTGTTCTCTGTTTCCCTAACTATAAGATTATGTGTTTAAATACTACTCTATTCAGAATAATTGTAATATTAAATGATCCTTTAAATTGGGATGGTTTGTCTGAATTAATTTAGTGGGCATCACACTCTAGCCACCCCATCGTGTATTTCTTCTCATCCATAGCACTTGTAATGTCCTCCATCAGGTCGGCAATGGCCAAAGATGTCAATCGGTTTGACCTAAAACCGTATTGGCAATCAGAGAGGATTTTATTTTTTCAATGAATGTATCTAATCTGTTATTAAAGAGTTTTTCCAGAATTTTTGAAAATTGTGACAACAGAGAAATCGGTCTATAATTTGTGAAGTTGTGCTTATCACCAGATTTATACAGTGGAATAACCTTTGCTATTTTCATATTATTGGGGAACTGCCCAAGTCGAAACGACATGTTAAAAATATGGGTTAATGGTTTGCATATCCCCTCAATTACCCATTTAACAGTTGTCATAGTGATACATCACTATCACTAGATGTTTTGTTAACACATTTATTCACTATCTCTATAATTTCTTTTTCAACTTGTTTGATGTGTGTAGCGCGTATTTTGTGTATTTTTTAATTAGCCTACATGATTATTATTCCTTTCATAGTGAAATGTGGTACTGTAGGTTCATCAAAATATACAGCCTGGTTTTTTTACACATAAGAAAACATACACAACCAATTTTACAGTAGGTATATATAATTTATACAGATCTTTTCCATATGTGTGTTTAAGGTGGTGTAACCCATAACACCCCACCCCACCCCCACTAATTATAGTATTATACAGCCCCACTTGAAATATTTTCCCACTGCTATAGGACTTTAAATTGTTTCAGGATTACAGAGGCCTAATTCCATAATCCCACTGTTGGGGAAGCTACTGTACTCTGAAAGCACAGCTTTGCAAACTATCAATTATTTCACACTGAAAGAAGTTGAATTACAGCAAAGCTGCCCTCAGGAGAAATCTAGTTTAGTTAACTAAAGCTACTTAGAAAAAAAATGTTCAAACTACTTTGTAAAAATGATCAATGTATATGTGATACAAAATTGCATTAAAAAGTCACATGCCAGCAAAAAATGCCACTCAGCTGAGTCTGTTACCTAAGACGTGAACCTGTATTAAATAAAACAAGCCCCATCTGGCCTTTTCACAAGGACAGCACTGTAAGGAATGGTTTGTCGTTTCAATAGTTAACTACAAAAAAAAGTGATGTAACTACCTGCATCACTATCCAAATGTGGATGTAGATGAACCACCAGCAAGCTGTAAAATGTACTTAAACTACGAGTCCCCAACACTGCTTAATTCCCGGGAAGTACACTAGCTCATGCTGTATTGAAGCCGCTCGTTGTGAGCTTGGCAGCAGTGCAGCTTTAAGAAGGAAGTGGGCAGAGCTCCGATGACGAAAGAATAATCCTGAAAAGATGCTTGAAAACTACAGAGCGGATCCAGCGTGTGTGGCTGCTGGCTGAGCTGGAAAAATCTCAGAGCGTGGCAGGATCAACTGGTCAGACAATATTTAGCAGGTTCAGGAGCCTTCGAAGGAACTAATCCATTATAAAGCATAGGCTACACGTTTTGGCACATTCGGTTCTTTAAAAGACAAATATAGTTATTTACCATTAAGCCAATTACTCACGGCGGAGGGCTTTCTGTTTGCAGCTCTATGTGGAGCCAACTTGAGGAAAGAAACATTTGAAGAACATCTGTCCAACGCTGTTTGTTATTTATCTGAAGTGGGAATTAGAAAGTAGCAATATGCCATTTTTAATCACACTCTGTATGTACTTTTTGGTGGTCCTGAAATCAGTTATGTCAAACACCATCACCGAAGACATAGATGTTTTGGTATTTTTGCCAAAAAATAACTCCTACCTTTTTTCAACTGCAAGAGTCGCACCAGCGATACTTTACGCACAACAATGGCTGAAGAGAGACGGAGGAAAATACTCCGGGTTCAGCTTCAACATCCAGTTTGAGAACTCCGACTGTGTCAGTGATGCTCTGTTTATGTTAGCGGACAAGTCGTGTGCGCAGAAGCCGGATCTGATTCTGGGTCCGGTGTGCGAGTACGAGGCGGCAGCGGTGGTGAGGCTGGCATCCCACTGGAACATCCCGGTGATCTCAGCAGGTGCCCTGGCCGCTGGCTTCAGCAACAAGAACACCGAATTCTCCCACCTGACTCGAATCGCACCGTCTTACGTGAAAATGGCAGAGATTTTCACCACAATGTTTGAGCACTTCACCTGGAAGACAGCACTGCTGCTGTACGAGGACGACAAGGAAGAACGGAACTGTTACTTCACTTTGGAGGGAGTCTATCATCTCATGGCTGACTATAACATTAAAACCTATGCTTTTTCCCAAGAGGATCGCGTGGACACTGACGACATCTTTCAAAACGTCTATGACATTGAAGGTAATGCAATTTTCAGTACCCCCAAGTGTAGCCTAAATGATTTAGACGATTTATATCCATTTAAAATATAATTTTATGAATCTTTTAAAAAGTTCCATATCAAGTTAGCCTACTCACATCCTATAGAGCCTACAGTATTACAGTGTAGCGTATAGGAGTCTATATCACACATCACGTGTGTTATATATATGTGTGTGTGGGTGTGTGTGTGTGTGTGTGTGTGTGCGCGCGCGCGCGCGCAGATTATTTTCTCGGTCCTAATTGCTTTGTCTGAAAATACCGAGAATAGCGGAAAATGTCTATCACAACTTCCTAAGACAAGGGAACCTTCAGCCTGAATTCAGCTAAATGGAGAGTTTTTGTAATAAGTCCTGTGACTGTGTCTATTTCATCAATTTAAAAAAACTAAGATATTATAGATTTCTGAATTCTTCAAGGTCTACTTTATTTATGTGATGGAATTGAGTCATGTTTGGTCATTTGGGACATAGTGTCAGTAGTGTAGTCCCTTGCTTTCAGCTCCAATTATATATTTCATAGAATATTTTAAAGTAAATTCTTGTTTGTCTTAACCTTAAATATAGACCAGTAGCCTTAACATTATGACCACCTGTACAGGGACAGCAGTTAGTTTGCACTATCACTCTGAGGCTCACAGTGCATCTTGTGTGAATCTTTTTGCTACAATAGAAATACTTTATGAAAAAGCACAAATTCACCTATCATTTAGCAGGGAACTGACATCCGATAGAAGGCATAACATTTTATATTTTATTTAAAAGATAAGTATCACACGGCTATAACATGACAATAAGGTATGAATTTCTTTTCTTGGCTAGTAGTAGAGAACAGTAGAATGACTGTAGACCTAGGGCAAAATCTCCACAGGGAACCAGGGGAGGCCCCATGACCAGTCCTCAAATGCCTACTTAAATTACAGTAAAATACTATATATTCTCCACTCAAAGGTGTTAAACAGATTCCAAAACCTACTGAATGTTCACTGAACTCCTCCTGCTTCATGTTGGTTTACATGTCTCACACAAAATTCTGATCTTATAATATGTAAATTACATATATATTATATGTCAATGTATGTCTTTCACCAATATCCAAAACATATGCAGTGTATATGGACATATATGCAGTATTATATATTTCAAAATATATCAAAAATGGCCGGTTTTATATATGTGACATATTTATACAATTATAAACATATTTAATATATATATATTTTAATTAATAAATGTTCATACATCAATATATGTCTGCTTACATTAGCTAAACATATTTCCCAAAATATGGCTATTTCTTCTGTCACTTGTGTTTGTGGTATCAAAATATGCCAAAAGTTAAATACAGTAGTACCTTGAAGATAAAGTCAGATAAATGTATAAATACTAAGTCAAGAACTCAAATTTCCAGTCCGTACGTTTTAGACTTTTTTGATTTCCGCCATTTTGCCCAAAGCTGTCCAATGTGTTGGTTCAGAGCAGGTTTGAGGCAGTTGCACAAAAATCCTTAGCAAGCTCGATGATGTCAGGATGCTATTTGTTGACTACAGTTTGGCATTTAATACTGTAATCCCAGAGAAACTGGTACTGAAACTGCACAATCTGGGAATGCCTGCAGTGATGTGTCATTGGATTAAGGACTTTCTCACTAACAGGCCTCAAGTGGTGAGAATCGGAAGCTGCACATCATCCACACTGGTCCTGAACACAGGAACACCACAGGGCTGTGTGCTCAGCCCAGTTCTCTTCACTCTGTTTACCCATGACTGTGATGCCATTCACTCCACAAACACAGTAGTGAAGTTCGCGGATGACACCACCGTAGTGGGTCTCATCTCAGACAATGATGAGACTCACTACAGAGAGGAGATCCAGCACCTGACAAGGTGGTGTTCAGATAACAATCTTGTCCTGAACACCAACAAGACTAAGGAGGTCATTGTGGATTATAGGAGGTCCAGGAAGACAAAACATGCTCCTCTTCTCATACACGGGGAGGTGGTGGAGCGAGTGGATAACATCAAGTTCCTGGGCATCCACATCACATCTGACCTGACCTGGGCTCTGAACACATCCTACCTGGTGAAGAAAGCCCAGCAAAGGCTTTTCTTCCACAGGAAGCTGAAACATGCTGGTCTCTCCCCTCAGTTGCTCGCAAACTTCTACAGAGCAACAGTAGAGAGCATCTTCTGTCTCAGTGCGATAGTGTGGTACGAGAGCTGCACTGCACAGGACAGAAAGGACTTGACCTGGGTGGTGAGAACAGCTCAGGGCATTGTAGGGAGTCCGCTTCTGGATCTAGACTCACTATACACTGACTGGATCCAGAGGAGGGCTGGACGGATTGCTGCAGACCCCACCCACTCGGGCAACAGTCTGTTTGTGCCTCTTCCCTCCAGGAAAAGGTACAGGAATATAAAGACTAAAACAAACAGACTGAGATACAGCTTCTTCCCCAGAGCTGTGAAATCAATCACCCCCCCAACCCCTAGTCACACACACAATGTCCCCCCCACAGACAGTTACAGATAGAATACCAGACTCCTGCAGATGCGCACGCATGCTCACACTTCTTCTAAAGACTGAGATTTGCACTCAGCTGCACTTCAGAATGGGACTATATTATTCTGCTGCTAATATGCTGTTGACCTGATTAGGTCCCATACATCTTCATTTTTATCTGTTCTTGTGTTATTTATGTAAATAATGTGCCTTTTAAGCCGAGAGCTGCTGGAAGACATTTCGTTGTAATGACAATAAAGATTCTTGACTTGACTTGACAGGATGCATTTATCCTGTTCCTTGTCTACATTGTTCATCAAGCCAATTTTTTGTAGCAATTTAGCCACTGTTGTGGTGTTTACCACCCAGTTTCTTCATCATGTTTTTTAGAACCTCAAATGTGTACTTTGGTTCCCTGCGATGGACCAGCGACCTATCCAGGGTGTACCCCGCCTTTCACCCGATGCTGACTGGGATTGGCTCCAGCCCCCCATGACCCCATTAGGGTCTAAGCGGTATAGAAAATGAGAGAAAGAGAGAAATGTGTACTTTGTTGGTGGGTTGGAAGGGAGTAGCTCAAATCCAATGAGTATATGGGGCCAAGCAACATGGCTAGCGCATCTGGAACATTACCAAACTTGTGAAAGCACTTCCACACCTTCAATAATTATTCCAGCATCTTCCACATCATCTGTTGGGTTCATCTCTGCCTTCTTTATGGCAAAGACCAAGGACTATCTGTTCTATGGTCACCCAGTTGTCTGCAGCATCCTTAAAACAGAACAAACTTTCAGCCATAAAATACACACACAGAGTAAAAAATAAAGAAAAAAATAGTCTTGATAAACACATTTGTTAGAATACAAAAACACAAACCTTATTTATGTTTGCCATGATATCCTTTATTGCACAAATAAGGTGATCTTTATCCTTATCCTATTGTCCTTTGGAAAACTCCTATCAGCTCAGAGGAGTGGTGAACATTGCAGAGACAAGCAAACCCTGCTTCCACCTACTTCTACAAACATTAAATATTAATTTTAGTTTTTTTTATTGTCTGTACAGTGTAAAGAAATATAACCATTATACGTGACTATATTAGTATTATTTTAATTATAGACATAATTTAAACACTATAACATAATAGAAATCAATTTCACATTGGTAGTGTATGGCAAATAGTGTGAACAGCATTATCAGGGGAGGTCTAGAGCTATTTTATCTGTGCTAATGTAGGGGTATTTTTGTCTGCTATAGCACACAGTATATATCTGCTCTGTACAGTACTAGTCCCTCCCCATGTAGAAGCATATCTTGTCCAGCTTCTTCCTGCAGACCTTATTGAAAAGCACAGGAGACATCTTTACTACTCCCGGGCATTAACCAGCATTGACAAACTTTAAAGTCCTCACGGCATGCTCATTTTGCTCACTTCAAGCCATTTAATGTTTAATCTTGGATACCTCTAGATTAGCTTTGCACTTGTCATTCCAAATAGTAAGTAATTATTTCAGAACAATAAAACCCGAGAGCCTCTTCCTAAAAACAAGAGGATAGTTTGTGAGTGTGCACAACAAAATGCAATGGCATTAATTAATTTGAATGTTTCAGTAGATAGGTAAACAATGGTATATGTACCGATGAAAAGGGATGTGTAACACTCTAAGCAAAGTGGGTAATTGAGAAACCCCATATTTTAACTGGCATAATGCAGACATAGTAACTTCTCCAGCCTTACAACAATTCTCTCTAAGGTTACAGAAACAACACATTAATAGCCATGCAACATTTGTAAACTTACCGTTAAGTCCCACCGAATAGTGGAAACATCACTCCATTTCAAGTAGCTCCAAGGTCGGTAAATCCAACCGGTGGTTGCTGCGTCTTCCCCCACATGACAATATACAATTCCAAAGTAGTGAAATTAATTTCAACAAGTAGCGTAGCGCTGACAATAACATTATGGATCATTAATACACTCCTTAACCAGCAACACATCACATGTGGCAGACACACTGGCCACAAGCAGTAAAAACAAACAGGTACTAGTCTCTGGGGGAATCCAGTGTTGATGAGCTGATCATTCATCACCACAGGGGGCTTCACTGGCTGGCTGCTTGTAGGGTTAAAGCTTCCTGGTAGGGGTATAACAATGTACTCCTATAGTTCATAATCCAAAAATGTGATGATAGGCATTGTAAAACTGGGAAGTGGGTCACAATATGAAGTCAATAAAATTTTGAAATATTGTGCTCCTGGGGAGTCCAGGAACATTCCTGGACATGCAGTAACCTCAGTCCTGTGTTTTTCTCTACATCCTCTGGTCACAGTGCAGCAGCAGGAGGGAAAATATATCCACAAAACTGTGTGCAAACTAAAAATTCCACTTTTACACCAGTGCGGTGGATGTGTTGATAACACACCTAACAAATAAGGCAATGTAACATTTTGCCAATATGGTGGAGGCAAGAGTGGATGTCA